CAGGCACAACAGCATACACAACTATTCCCTATTTATCTCAGACATAAATTATCATCTAATACTTGCTTCTCTCACCCTCTCTTTGATGCCTGTGTACCTTTCTTCTCACGCACCCAATTATCAGAAGTTTCACACCCCTCTTCCTTCTTCCTACATTAGTATATTCTTTATTCTCCCTTTTCCTTTCTTACAACCCTCAGAACAAATCTATCCTCTCCAAATCCTTCTGTTTTTCTTACTTAATTCCCTCAATACATTTTGAAGATAGTAAGGTTCTGTTTCTTCCAAGTGCTCAAATAAATTTACCTTTTCCAGTTTCCTGAGTCTTCTGTTTGCCATTCAGAATTCCTACTCAGTTGTGGTCTTTTCAACAGAAATACTTGCTAGTTTGCAGTCAACTGGCGATCCATTATTTTTCTCCTGTAGAATTATACTCAGTTTTTCTGAGTGAGTTATTCTTGGTTGTTGGCTCATCTCTTCTGCCTTTGAGAATACCATATTCCAAGCTCTCTTGTTTTTAGCAGAATTCTGCCAAGTCTTATGTCATTATGTTTATGTTTATGTTTGCTTAGTCTTGAATTCTTTCTGGTTGCTTACCTTTTGTTCAAGAAGATCTGGATTTTGGCTAGGTTATCTCTGGGGTTTCTTTCAGTAAATTACAGATGGATTCCTTCTAGTTTCACTCTGAAATCTGGTTGTAACAGATTTGGCAAAAAGCAGGCAACAAGCATTTAGTAAAGGTTTAATATGTGCCAGGGACTACGCAAAGTGGTAGGGATAGATACTGTCCTTATTTCCTGTCCTTCAGGAGCTTCCTTAAGGACATTCTAATAGAGAAAGAAAACAAATAAAAAGGAGCTGAAAAGCAGAGGGTGGGTGGGTGGAGGAAAGTACAAATGCTCTGGAGGAAAGAAATAGAAGAATAAACATGTTTTATTCCTTTCCTGGCCACGCTGACTTTCTCCCCAATTTTATTGCCATTCTCTCCCCTCCAGAGGTTTTGTTGTTTTTATCTCTTGCTTCATTTCTTCTAGGTATCATGTAGTCATTGTAGACAATCCATTTTCCCTTTCGTGGTCTGCTTGTATTTTTTGTGGAATTATTCTCTCCTTTTGATATAGATTTTTAGGTACTTTTTTTTCAATACAACAATTCTTCATAGTGGTGTCCTCATCTCTCCAGCCTTACTTCTTGACTTGGGGCTTTCTGCCAGGATTAGGGTCTACAACTTGCAGCATTTTTGGATGTTATGATTGACTCTGCTTGGTCTTAATTTAGGTCATCTGGGTTCCTGTGACAATCCACATGCCTGGATATTTGAGATCCAGAGCCCTTAACCTTCAAAGTACTCTTTGGTGTCTTATAACAGAGTGCTAGGGATGTTGGAGATTGGGGTGTCACTGTCTGAACAACTGCTATAACTGTCCACACAATGAAATTTCTGGCCACCCTGGGGTCTTCTGGAGGAACTCCACTCTTACTGCCTCTGAATATAGATACTTGAATGTTACAAGTGTCTCTGGTCCAATTGTAATTGTCAGTGACACTTCTGGCTTGTATGCCTGGGCATGAGCACTGTTTTATATGGTAGGCCCTGCTTGTGGGACTCTAACTTTTTGTGCAGTTTTGGCATGACAGAAGTCACCTATTGTTTTCATTGAATTATTCAGTCTGGAGCTATTTTTAGGTTTTTCCTGGAGGCAGTACGTGGGAGTCAGAGTGTCTGCCTCTATTTAGGTAGTCACTTTGGCTGGAAGTCTCAATGACTCATATTATAGAACTGCCCTGTGTAATATCATTTCTCCTGATATTGTGTTTTCACAGAATTACTTAATAATATTACAAAACGAATACCTGTTCAGGTACAGGAAAGAACAATGGACATAGGGTGTTCAAATGCCAATTCTGACACTAAGTAGCTGTGTGACTAGGTAAATCAATTTGCCTCCCTGAGCCTGTTTCATCATCTGCAAAACAGGAATAATACATTTTATAGCATATTTCCATTGGGCTAAAATGAATTACCACGTTTTTCATAATTATAGCCTCAAATAGTGTGAATTCAAATATATGTGACCATTCATCATTGTCATGAATACGGACCTGGCTGCAATACACTTGCATTACCTACATCACAAACGTGAGTACAGTTGGCTTTATAAACACAAACCCTTTATAATTTTTGTCATTATTAGATGGTGAAACATAATAGCTACATGTAAAAAATTTTTAAAAAGAAATCACAAAGTAGCATATACGTGCATCCAGTTTACTTAAACTAATTTAACTTTATACATCTCCTAGTGCCTAACACAGTACTCTCTATAAAGCAGGTGCTTAAATAAATCTGGTGAACAAATAATGCGTACAAGGAATAGTATATATGAATTCATGGGATAAAGTTATGTTTAATATACAAATTATTAATTTGTAGGACAAAGATATGGTTATTTAAGACATCTTAAACATAGAAGACAATACTGCATACTGCTTTCTGGAAGTTTTGCTTGTTGAGGTTTGGAGTACAAATTAAGTTTGCAAAATCAGCCTCTACTTGATAATGCTTAGATAATTATTGTAATGTATGTTTTAAACACTCATTTTAACTCTGATGAGAATTTCTTTCAAATTTTGCTATGAAATCTAGAAGGCATGTAAAAATATTAAACACAAAATGTAACGGTGCCATAAGAAATGATGAGCAGGCGGATTTCAGAAAAAACATGGAAAGACTTAGATGAACTGATGCTAAGTGAAGTGAGCAAAACCAGGAGAACACAGTACACAGTAACAATAACATTATGCCATGATCAATTATGTTAGACTTAGCTCTTCTCAGCAATGCAATGATCTAAGACAACTCCAAAAGACTCATGATGGAAAATGCTATTCATACCAAGAGGAAGAACTATGCAGTCTGAATGTAGATCAAGACATACTATTTTCTTTTTTTTTTTGTTTTTTCTTTCTCATGGTTTTCCCCTTTTGTTCTGATTCTTCTTTCACCACATGACTAATGTGGAAATATGTTTAACATGACTATACATGTATAAACTATATTAGATTGCTTGCTGTCTTGGGGAGGGTCAAGGGGAGGGAGGGAGAAAAAAATTTGGAACTCAAAATCTTATAAAAGTGAATTTTAAAAATATCATTTAGGGTTGTAATGTAATTAGAAAATTGGAAAAACGTAATTGGAAAAAATAAAATACAATTAAGTGGAAAAAAATTTAAAAATGCTAAATCTATAGTGTAAAATATTAACAATATGACTTAAAAATTATAACAAGACTCAGCTCAAATGCCACCTCCATGAAACCCTTTCCTGATTCTCCCAGTGTTAGCTCCTTCATCTAAACTCATGGAATACTAGTTGTATGTAATCATATGTAATTATAATGGAATACATGTTACAGTTATTTTGTGTGTATTTCTTATCATCTGTTAGTAAACTAGAGGGCATCAGTCTAAATGTATCTCCTCCAATCTAGTATAATGCAATGCACTTTTTTAGTCTGTTGAACAGAAGCTTGTACAATACAGCAGAAAACTGACTAGACATGGAAACAACTAGACTAAGTTCAGGTCCTGGGTATCCTACTTAATAGTTGTGTGACTTTGAATAAATCAATTCACTTCTGTGAGTCTCCAGTATTTCCTTATCAGTCAAATGAACTAGATAATTGTTTAGGTCCCTTCCTGCTCTAACCTGTTTCTATCCAAAATGTGAGGTCTGATAAAAAATGGAGACACATGCTATTTGGTCTTTTAATCATGTCCAGTATCACTTTTTAGGTTCAACTAATTAGTATCAGATGCTTTGAAACCAAGCAGTGCTTAAGATGTGCTACTGAATATTTTTATGTGAGGTTTCTGTGCTTTGTTTCCATAGAAATGGTGCTTTAATACACTAGGAAGAAGTTGACCAAAGTTTCACCTGCTCTGCATGATCAGAGAGCAAGATTTCCCCTTCAGTAAATTCTGACTATTCTCTAGACAGGATACTGTGGTTTGCAACCTATACAGTGAGGTCGTGACCTCTATTCCACTTCACATTTACAGCCTGTAAACCCTCCCTGATTCTCCCAAGGGAACATGATCTTTCACCTCCATGGACCTCATATAACACTATGCTAACATTTCTTATGCATTTTATACAAACACACGTCTGCATCCACATGCATATATACGTACATCTTTGTATTAGAGCTGAGTCTTCAGCTAAAGTCCACCTTCAATACTTCATTAAGTGGCCCTGGATTTGCCCAGAATGTGCTAGCAGAGTACAAGCTCCAGAAGTCGACACTAGCCCATAAAGAGTTCAAGAAAAAACCCGGTCCATAATGGGATTAACAATTACCACCCAGCTAAGTGCTGAAACACTTATCGCTATAAATTTAGCTATTATGCGATCGAACTTCATGTTCACAACACTGAAACCATTTACTAAATGAATATTAAAATATTCCCCACTATCCTTCTTTTGCCTGGTTCCCAACACAATGCCAATATTTACTGTTTGCTGAAAAGCGGTATCATTAAGAGAGGGTACTAAGATCTGGGAATGAGCATCTGACGTCAAGATCTGGGGCTACGTGTAAAAAGTCGTTGATTTGTAGTCACAAGACCTGGGTTCAAATTATGCTTCTGCCTTAACTTGGGGAAGTCACTGTGTCTCTCCAAGCTGTTTCTGGCTCTGTAAAGAGCCGGTTGGAGTGGATCATCTTTAAGGTCCTTTGCAGCTCTAGACCTTATTATATGACTCGATTCTAAGACTTTAATTTCTGGTCGATCATGCAAGCTCGCCCAAACACCCAGACACAAAGATGGGGCTGAGGCATGGCTAGCTCAAGGAGACCAGAGAGAAGCTTCGCTAACTGGCAGAGAACCTGGGCCGCTTTGCCGCCTCTCCCTAGAAGGGTTGGGGGATGGTGGCGCGCAGCTCGTCTTGGAGGGGCCCGACACCCCCTCCCCCGCGGTAGTCGGTTGGTTGGGGCTACCTTGAGCACACAGTCCGACTGCAGTAGGCACGCCCCCAGATCCTCCTTCACCCCGGCGCATGCGCCGTCATCCTCCGGCTTGTCCTCATAGTAACGGGGCATCACCTCCCCCCTGCCGCCGCCGCCGAGGCAGCCTCCGACTCAGAGGACCGAGAGCCACCCCCAGAGCCAAGCCCGGAGCCTTCAACAAACACCGCGTGCAGCGTTCTCGACACCGCCCCCACCCGCCCTGGGCTGCCTCCACTTCCGGCAGGAGCAACCTTCTGGACGCCAGCACCCGTGATGGCGGAGGGGGCGGAGGAGGGCGTTGGAGAGGAAGAGGCAGGAAGTAGGGATAAGCTCCTTCCGGCTTCGGAGTCGCAGCCACCGGAATCCAAGACTCCGAAAGTCCTCCGGCAGGAAGCTCAGCGGAAGTGGGAGAAGCACGTGATTTGCCTAGCTCTCGGAGTGACGAAGACCAACTACGTAGCAGGAAGGAAGGGGAACCGGAGCCGGGGCGGGCGCCTGGCTCGACTACTGAACAGAGGTGGCGGGGGGGATTACGGATCCGGGCCGAGGCCCCAGCCGGGCTCCAGGTGAGTACCGAGGGCTTCCCCATCCCCCGCCCCGTCCTCACTGCCCCTCCTCCGTCGGGCGCGCCCCGCGCACGCGCCGCGAAGCTCGAGCGACTTTTCTCCCGGCTGCCTTTGGCTGCGCGTCTCGCTACGTCACAAGGAGCCCCCGTGCCTGCAGCGCCCCCTCCCCGAGACTCCCCGGGGCTGGCGGGAGAGGGGGGAGGGTCGCAGCCGCCCAGAGGGAGGTTCCGAAGGTGTCATTAATAATTGGGAAGTGACTGGGGTCCTCAGGAGCGTCAGTCAGCCTGCCGAGGCCGCGGCCTGCGGGGGACGGAGGGGGCTCGGGGCCTGGGGTACCCCCGGGGCTCAGTCCCGGACACGCCCAAACTCGGCCACCGCCCACTCGGGCCTGAGCCCGGGGCGATCCAAGCCACAGGTGCACCTACCTGGGCGGGGCGGGTTGTGTGCGTTTACTACTCCTCCCGGGGACCGACCAGCCCTTTCCCTCGTCGCCCGCTTGCCACCTGGCCAAGGCGCCGGGCGAGATGGATTGGTGCGGAATCAGGTGGACGCTCAGGCCACGAAGGGGATGCCTTGTTAGCTGGCTCCTCCTCTACCTTCATCCCTTCCCTCCTTTGCACTGAGAACCTTCCCCAGTTGTGTTATGTTGTCATAGCATTTATTAGTGGACCTGACTTGGAATCATGTTTGTGTCTCTCTGCCTCTCTGGGCTTCAGTTTTCGTCTTTAGACGAGGCCTCCAAGGCCCATTCCAATTCCAAATTAATGAGCCAACGAATCTCTAATCTTTTCCTTTCAAATGTCTTTCATCTTGTAGTCTTCACTAACACCTAGCTTAGTTTTGAAGACACTACAGCTATTGCCATCCTCTCCCAGGATAGGTACTGTTTATACAGGACCACAAAGGGTTGGCATAATCACTGCAGCTTTCAGACTCTCTCACCCACTGTCACTAAGCAGTTAGATTTCTTCCTTTAAAGCTTGATCCAGTCTGTCCACATCAATCTTCCTCTTGAATAAGTTGAGTTCAAGAGTCTTTTTCTCCATCTAACCATTCTCCTCCCATCTTTATACGTTCCCAAAACCCTGGTTTTTCAGTTCTTTTATATTCAACTTCCACTACCTCTATCTTCAGCCAAACAGAGGTGTGTTCCTACTTTGAACCCAGATGGATCTGCCTTGGCCACAACCCTCTAGCCCAATTGAATTTGCCTTGGGTTCCTAGTTATGACTTCAGATGTAAGAATTAGATAAGACAGTCACCTTGGTAAGTGACTTAATTGGGACCTACAGAGTCTACGGTAGGGGTGATCTCCATAAATATTTACCGATACTGTTATTTATAAAATGCATCTTGCAAAGGGCTTTACTTCTCTCATTTGAACTTCACATCCACCCTGTGAAGTAAGTACTAAAGGAATTATGCTTCTTATTTTATAGATTAGGAGAAATTTTGAGTTGACTTGCTTATAGTCACACATCTGGTAACTATTGGAAAGTGGTGAGTGAACATGTATTCTCATCTCCTCTGGTGCTAAGTATAATATAGGTGTATATAAATTCAAAGTGAGAATCCCTGGCACATTTCGCTTATCCCTCTAAGGCAATTATGTATTATTTTGTGTGATAGTTATTTTCCTGTATTCACCTGTCACCTCCATAAGTGCCTAAAGTACTCTTCACATAACAACAGTTTAATAAATGTTTATTGGATTTTGATATACGTACTCAGAGATTCATTGAGTTATTCAACAAATATATATTAAGCACTACATAGGAGGCACAGCCCCAGGTACTGGGGATACAAAGATTAAAAAAAAACACCACGCTTCCAAGTTTATTTGTTACTAGCAAACACATCCTAATATACTTAACCTGACTGGAGACTGATGTTGATCAAACATGGTTGTAAGTATTTGGGCAATCATGATACAGTAATCTAAAGAGACACAGTGTGAATTACTGTTGACTCCAATACTAGTTTCCTGGATACCTATATATCATTTCTTCTTTTTATGAAACTAAAACTCATTGAAAGGACATTGTAATATAGTGAGAATGAAAGATTTAGAATAAGCTGCAGTACTATTCTTCCTGTTGGTCTAGTTGGTTGGAATTAGGATTGAGATTTTGTACCTCCTACAATAATGACAGTGTGGTTGTCTGTGGCAAGGCCATTTGCTTTCCTTATGTGAAACTTCATTGATCTGACCTTGATTTAACTAAATGTAGATGGTTTATTTAGGAGTTCAATTTTAGATGGTGGCGTTTGTTCATTAAACCTGCATGTTTTTACATATTGCCAATGTAGAAGTGATTTTACATTCTTAATTGGTTGTGTTGCTGTCCTTACCTCAGGTACATCGAGTTCCTTACTTGGCTACTGCTTACAAGTTTTCTTCTCTTTTTTCCTCCAGCTTTATTATTGTGAAGTAATTGTCAACAGCTAGAAACAGAAGGAAATGGCTTTTTAAAAAGTAAGAGACCTTGTGAAACTTGCTTAAGAAAAATAACTTGACAACTTAACTGTGATTCTAAATGGAGGAAGAAGTAGCACTAACAAAGTCAGAAGGCACATAAATTTGGTGTAGCTGGTCTGAGAAAATATTTGGTGTTAGTGGACTAAATTGGCATATATGTAGTACTCAGATATGTGTGAATGTTTGCTCCCCACATAAAGGGCCTAATGCAGTGATTCTCAGAGTACTAATGACAATATAGATATAGTACTATGAATATTTTTAAGGGCTACTGTAACCCAGACTCACTAGTCATTGGTATTAATTAGTGGGGGCTCCAGCACAAGGGCCAAACAGAATGTCAAGACTCTTCTTTGAATGTCCATCGCTGGCCCTACCTAGAATGTTTAGGTAGCGATTTAAAGGGTCTTTTACCTCTTTCATTCTTAGGTATAATTACTAGAGGAAGGCATACGTCTAACAAAAAAGTTTGGTTATCACTTAATATCATACTGCTTTCTTATAAGACAGATTATTTTTATTTTTCTTTAATCCAGAAAGATGTTACCAACCACGTCAATGAATTCCCGATTACAGGGGAATGGTGCCTTGAATTCCAGGGATGCAGCAAGGCACACGGCTGGAGCAAAACGCTACAAGTATCTTCGGAGGCTCTTCCGATTCAGGCAGATGGACTTTGAGTTTGCCGCCTGGCAGATGCTCTATCTTTTCACTTCTCCACAAAGAGTTTACAGAAACTTTCATTACCGAAAACAAACAAAGGATCAGTGGGCACGAGATGATCCTGCCTTCTTGGTGTTGCTGAGTATCTGGCTCTGTGGTAAGTATCTTAGCACGTGTACATTAAAATTTAATAACAAGTCAAATGTTTCAACTGAGAAGATTGATCAGGAAGATTGTGCCCTTAATGGGGAAGATCTGAATGTGAATTGTTAATGGAATTTGGGAATACTTCAAAAAATAAGCTTTTCTGGAGTTGTCAAAAGATGTTGCCACAGGAAACGCTACATTCTCTCAAATTAAATAAGATCAGATAATGGTTTCATCTGAGTAAAAACATTCACATTAAAGCTTATTGGACAGGGAACAATTGAATCTGGCCTTTGCTGTGAAGTCCTAAGCAAAGTGAACCTGAAGTAACATTTTACTATGAAAACTATTGAGATTAGGAATTCAGCACAATTAAGTGAAGCAGGAATTAAAATTTTGAAATCGCTAATGTAAATTTAAATAAAAGGGAACCTTGTCCAGCTATTTCATTGTGACTCTAGCATAAGGTTGACAATGACATAATTGACATTGAGGGCTCTTCTGTAAGGTGAATTAATGTTGAATTTACTTGAAATACTGATTTGTTGCCTTAGAGCATCATCTGCAGTCAGGGATCAAAGACTTTAATTCATGTATTTTTAATCTTCCTTTCAGTGTCCACTATAGGATTTGGATTTGTCCTGGATATGGGATTTTTTGAAACCGTAAAGCTTCTCCTTTGGGTTGTGTTTATAGACTGTGTGGGTGTTGGCCTTTTAATATCAACTCTGATGTGGTAAGTACCACACTTTTTGGTTTTTTTAGGCACTGCTATAAACCCTTAAGTTATTTGTTTCTAAGATATAGAAGCTAATAAAATTAAAACAAGAGGTCACAAGACTAATTGAAAAGGGTTGATGAGGATAGTCGAGATTTCATATAAACTTATCTCAGCTGTTCTCAGCATCAGTAAATAATCCAGAGTAAGGCCTATCTTGTCAAAGAGCAGCCAAGAATTGAATCAAAACAATGATTATTAATTCAAACAAAACAACTAATCTTACACAAATTTCCTGGTTAGCCCTCCTTTACTTGAAGCAGTCTTTTCAATGGCATTTGGCAGATGATCTACTGTAGATGTATAGCTGCTACAATCTTAATTTTTTCCTTAGCCTTTATCATTAATGAAACATGTTTGAAAAGGAAAGGACTTTTTAACTTTTATTGCCTTAAAGAATGCACAGTGATGTTTTACTGAAAGGATTCTCAATATCTGATGTTCTTATTGAACTAAAATTATTAATATCTCTTATTTTTATATTACTTACATTTCCCAACATATCCCTCCCTTCTCCCTGCCCCAGAATTCTGTCTCTTATAAAAAAGAAATTTAAGAGAGGAAAAAGATCTATCTGGGGTAATTAAGTAACAGATCAACCAACCTGAAGTAACATGCAGAACTCTATACCAAGGTCTCCTGCCTCTGAGAAAGGGAGGGACATCCATTTACATATGTCCTCTTTGGGCCCAAACTTCATCTTTATGTCTGTTTTTAAACAGATGTAATTATGAATTCCAGGTTTATTCTTAAGCTTACAAATCTCCCAATTTTTTTTTTAAATGTATGTTGCTCTCTCTTGACATTTTGACTGAGAGTAAATAGTTGTGGCAAATGTTTTCCCCCCACAGAGTGGCGATGAACAAAGCTGCAAGACTGTAAACACTTTGAATATGTGAATCATTCTTCTCTTTTCTTTACAGCCCCAACTGTAGTACTACATTCTATATGCAGCTAAAAGTCAGATAGTATGTAACTATTACATTTGGAAATCCATCAGTACCAAATCTTACACTTCTGTAACTTGCTAGTAATAACTTAGTATCTTCATATCCTTAATTGGACAACTTAATTTTCTAAAAATTAAAAAACTTTGATATACCTATTACAGTTCAGTATCTAGTAAGCACATTGCTTTGAGTCAGTGAACCATAGAAACATAGAAAGCCATAATCCAAGACCCAAGTTTTTACTGCTTCCTGAATTATTCTGTTCCAGAGTTTGTTCTATACCATATAGATGTGTTATCCTTAATATTAAGACAATGAAATGTACAATGTTCTTCCCTGAAGTTTAATTAGAACAGGAGTTCTTAACCTTCTAACCCTTTGGCATTCTCATGAAGCCTATGGATCCTTTCTCAGACTAATGTTTTTAAATGCACAAAATAAAATCTGTATTGTTACAAAGAAACCTAGGTATATTCATGTAGTTATTATATTTTTTAAAAAAAACAACAATTTCACAGACAGTAGTAGGTTAAAAATTTGTGAGTTAAGAGTAATGGTTGCATATTCCTCAGGGCCATGCTGTATCATTCCTATCTACTACTTTGTGGTCTTTTTATCCAACTTTTTGTTTTGTTTTATTTTTTAAAATTTTCTCTTTGTCAGGCAAATCATATTTGTGCTGCCCTACCTTTCCTGATTTGCCATACCTATGTAAGCCATATAGTCCATTTTAGATGCCTTCCAGAAAAAGATATTTCTGTTAGTAATCTCACATTTTATTTCCTCGTGATACTTTTTCCATTGTCATCGATTTTATTCATTTATTGATAAAAAAGTTGATATGGATAGGGCCGAGCAGTGGAAAGAGCCCTGAACCTGGATTGCTGAACTTTGAGTAACAGAATTTGTGTTCAAATCCTGTGATTTTGGGGAAAGTTACTTAGCCTTTGTCTCAGTTTCCTCATCTGTAAAATGGAGTTAATAATAACACTTGCCTTCCAAGGTTGTTGTAAGGATCAAATGAGATAATTGTAAAGTACTTAACATAGTGCTTAGCACATAGTAAGTGCTATATAAATGTTAGCAATAATCATCATTATTGTGGTTATTAAACTATAAAGTAAATTTGAACTAGATGACTGGCTCTGTTCTGTTCTGTTTCTCATACACAACGTTCCATCTCCCATCTCTTTGTTCTCACTCAAGTTGTCACACATGTCTGAAATATACTTCCTTTTTATGTCTGCCTCTTGGAAGTCCATTTTCCTTCAAAGTTCACTTCAAATGGTACGTGATGCCCGCAACTGCTAGAACATCTCAAATTACCTTATTTTTATTTTGAATATATCTTGCATATACATATGTGTATACGTGCATATGTACACATTTTCTCCCTCTATGGAATATAAGCTCCTCAAGAGCAGAGAATGTTTCATTTTTATCTTTGTATCCAGAGTCACTGGCACAAAGTAGTTATTTGATAAATGTTGGTTGATTAAGTAATTCTTATAATATAAACATTCTATGTTAAATATGCTTTTTCTTAAAAATCAAAAGTGCGAGTAGGCCTTAGAACTCTCCTGTTGCTCCCACAAAAGCAATGAGAAAGACTTGAGCTGATAAGGAAAAGGAATTATGAAGGTGATTGAGGTGGGAAGGGCAGGGTTAGAATTGTGAAGAAGTTCTGAAACTGAATTTGGTGGTGGAAAGTGTGGGAAGATTTGGAAAAACTGAAGGTTTTTGGACTCAGAGACATGGAAGTGAAAAGAAGACTGACAGCTCTTGAAGTTGAATATATGTCTGGGAATTGATTAGCAGAGATGAGGACTTCTACCATGAAGATAAGGAGGAAATTTGAAGTGATCTGTACTGAGTGGGAAATATTTTTATTTCTGCCACTGGCAAGCAACAGCTCAGTGGCAAAACAAAGAAGAAAAGAAAACCTAAGCAGCAGAGAGGAATTATTGCCTGGTGTCAGGAGACTGGAGTACAGAAGAGTGGCATCCTAAGGAGAAAAAAGAGACCACTGAACTCTTGGAGCTAAATGACAATAATTGGCTGTTTCCAAGAAGGAAAGAGCTACTTGTCCTCCAAGGAATGATTATGTGGATACACAGGTGCTTTTGGTTGAGATCACCTCATATAGCTCAGAAGAGACGAGAAATGATAGTTTTTAGCTCCCAGCTGACTTGATAACAATATAGAAGTCTCCTGCCTTCCCTGGGGTATGTATTCAAGATGTGATAGAGGACTTCCTCAACATTTATCAAACCACATAAATACTATCCACTTCTGATGATTCACTGATGAATAAATGTTACTGCCAAAATGAATCTGGAATCTTTTAGCAGAGATTTTAAAGAAATGCAATAAACTGAAAATTTTAGAGTGTTTTCTTCTCTACTGCCAATTTTAGGTGAGAATTTGGGAAGACAGATGTGAAGAATATAAACCTAATTAAATAGGTCATTGAGAATGAACTTGAGTTTCTGGAATGATGGGACTTCATCCAAGGATGGAGTACACTTAAAAAGGACTGATAAAAATGTATTTGCCTAGAGTATTAAAAATCTAATCTTAAAAATTCTTTTAACTTAAAAACAAAACCATAAATCAGGTGGAGGAAGAGGAGAAGCTGCCCAGGTAAATCCACCAAGCTTGATGCCACAAAGAATAACTTCAGTGTTTGAAAAATAATGGAAGAGATGTCCAGAAATTCAGAAGAGGCAAAAATCTGAGAAAGGAGTCTGCAGTAAGACCCTTTGGCCTTAAATACCTATAAGCAAATGTACTAAATTTGGGTAAACAGACAAGACAAACTAGAGATCTTAATGTAAACAATCAAATATAACTTCTAGAATGAGCTCTGTGGCTGAATAAAACTATGGAAGTTATTACTTTATTCAAAAGGAAGAAAAAAGGTAGAGTTGGGGGTAGAAAAGTATTTATTAAGATATATTAGTAAAGAAATCCAGGTATCAAAGGGAGTAAGCGTGGTGAAGTGCATCTGTGATATTGCCATTTAAAATATATTAAAGACTACATAAGCAGAAAGGAAATAAGAGTGTTCAGGAACTATCATAAGCCTGGTATGGAGGCATGATAGTAGTAGTGATGGGAGACTTTATCTCTTCATTCAGAGAAGAGCAGTTAATAATTTTTTAGTTTGCATTAATGGTAATTCTTCAGAAGATGGTAGTGCCAATGATACTAATTTTTATTCCCTGTCTGATTTTCACCAGCAAGGAAGAAAGGTTGCTAGGTAGATGTGATGAGAATCTTTGGGAGAGGTACCATTAAATCTTAGAATTTGTGATAGACAGAAAGAGGAAAGCCAGAGGTAGCCTGACATGTCGCCTAGATTGGGGGAGGAGGAGCACATTTTAAGGGGTTCAGTGGCATAAAAGTCTATGAAGGAAATCAGCCTAAGAGAAATGGGAAGCTCTCAAAAATGAGATTTTGAAGACACTAAGAAGAATATCTGATAGGGAAAAATTGACGTTGTATAAAGAGACCATGGTGGACACAGGGAACTCATCAACCAACTTGGATTTTAAAAGGCATATGGAGAAGATGGAAATAAGGACAGGCAACTGAGTATGACTATGGTAGTTCCCATAAGAGGAGGTTCAGTAGTATTAAAGTTCAGAATGCGCTGAGCTGACAAGGAAGGCCAAGTTTGACCAAAAAGAAAAAAAGATTTTTTTTAAGCTTATATTAGAGAAAAACATTAATGATCAAAGAAAGCCTTATTGACTCCACTGCCCTAAGCCTCCTCTCTCCTCTGATTGGACAGTGGAGTACTGAACTCCTCCCAATGCCTTCCTTTGTAGAGGACAAAAACTAGACTCTTAGTTCTATCCACTTTGCATCTGCTGCTTTGCCTAGTTTTAGCTCTAGAACAAGGTACCCCCCCTGCATAGGGTGTCCCTTGATATTCCCCCTGTGCCTTTTATGCCTCTTTTTCCCTGTGGCTCCCCTTTTAGATTATAAGCTCCTTGAGGGAAG